GATGGCAAAACAAAAGGCAAGGTATGCAGGACATAAGAATTGGAAAATTATTTTGCTGAGAACATGTATGTTGATGTGCTTGATTGAGCCAATGCACAGTGTATTTTGGATGGAAAATTCATTTGTGTATTGTGATGGTGTATAGTGAATTAATGTAGAAAATGAATAAATTAAAAAAAAAATCTGTACTTATAGGGTGCAAGTACTCTCCAGAGAAAGACAGTGAGAGGGAAAGTGAGAAATTACTCCCTAGGGGGATGGCCATGGTGCAATCCCTTCTCCTCCATTCTCTCAGGATTTGGGCCTGCAAGCATATGTGCCTGGTGTAATTTTCAAGACATCAGGCCTGGGACTTGAACCAGATCTAGGCTGTGGGAGTCTAGTGCCATAATCACTTTGCCACGTGCTAGTTCCTTGTAATGTACCTCCCTCTTCCCCAAGGATTATTTATTTAATTATTATAATTTTAATTTTACTATAGGGCATATGCACTTAGCAGAAAGAGAGAGAGAGGGAAAGTAAGAAAACAAGCAGCCAGGTCCAAGACACGAACCACAGTTGACCATGTGGGAGTCCAGAGCCTTAACCACCCCTCCACTTGCTGCTCTTATATTATAATGTACCTTTTTTATCCTAGTTTAAATTAAAATAAAGTTAAATAAAAAATATTATTTTATTTGATTAATTAATTTATTTTTAAGTTCGATCAGAGAGGGACAGAGAGAGAGAAAGTAAGCCACCAGGTCTGGGACTCGAACTGCAGTCAGCCATGTGGGAGTCCAGTGCCCTTAACCACCACACCAACCACCAGCCCCTCTTGATTATTTATTGTAAGCACTTATGATGTTCTGGGTATGATTCATCATGTTTCTTATGCTTGAGGTTCACTGAGTTCCTTGGATCTACAGTCATCTTCCTTATCCTGCTTGGAAATGGGTACTCCTTACTGGGCTACCTCCACTCCTGACCCCTCGCACAGATGCTTATTATTAAATTTATTTATATTTACCAATTAGATGGGTAATGTTATTTCAGAGTAATTTTAATTGTATTTCTCAAGTGAAACCAAGCATTATAATTGTTCAAAAGTCTTTATATCTCCATTTCTGTGAACTGACTATATCCTTTGTTCCAGTTTTTTAATTTTTATTTTTTAATTATTTTTTTAAAGAACTATGTATTAAGTTTTACTTATTCATTTGTTTATTTTTTAATTTGATAAGAGAAAGAGAGAGAGAGAGGAAGTGAAAAAGCAAGCCACCAGGTCCAGGACTCAAACCATGGTCGGCCATGTGGGAGTGTCCAGCATCTTAACTGCCATGCCACCTGCTGGTCCCATTTTTATTTATTTTTTAATTAGCAGAGGGTATGTGCACTTGCCAGAATGACAAAGAGAGGGAAAGAAACACCCCTCAATGGGGGTACAGTCATGCCACAATCCTTTCTCTATGTCTGTATCCTGTCAGATTTTGGATACAAAATACCAGCATGTTTTTCAAGCTGCTAGGTCCAGGATTTGAATCCTGGACAGCCATGTGGGATCTGGCTTCCTTAGGCCATGGAGCCAGCCTTCCTTTGTTTGATTTTTATATTGATTTATCTTTGTCTTTTTTTTTTTTTTCTGTAATTGGTGTGTTTTTTTCCAATGAAAAGTTATGTAGTTTTTTCTTTTAAAATTATCAGAGGATGTATGTGTTCACCAGGGATAGAGAGAGAAACAAAGAGAACAAGAGACAGGGGAAACACCCCTTCTTCCCAAATGGGGCATGGTTACACTGTGATCCCTTCTCAGTTTCTCTTGTCAAGATTTTGGGTACACATGCACATGTACTTGGGATGTTTTTTTTGTTTTTTTTCTTTTTTTGGAGAGGTTTTTGCTATAGGGTGCGTGCGCTTGCCAGACAGATAAGAGACATAGAGACAGAAAGTGAGAAATCATCCCCCGGGGGGATGGTCACGCTGCAATCCCTTCTCCTCCATTCTCCTCTCGGGATCTTGGGCACGCATGCACATGCGCCTGGCGTGATCTATAAAGAGTTATACAGCTCTATTTTCTTCTTTTTTAATTCAGAGAGAGAAACAGAGAGAGAGGGTGAAAGTACCACTTCCCCCAATGGGGTTAGTCACACCACAATCTCATCTCTTCCATTCTTCTATCCTGCCGGAATTTCAGGCACGCATGCATATGCGCCTGGCATAGTTTTCAGGTTGCTGAGGTAGAATTCAAACCATGGTCAGCGATTTGAGATCCAGCTCTCTCTTTTTTTCCCAAAGAATTATTTTATTTAACTTTATTTATTTATTTATTTATTTATTTTAATTTGACCAGAGAGGAACAGAGCAAGAGAGAGAGAGGGAGAGAGAGATTGAGAGAGAAAGCCACCAGGTCCAGGACTCAAACCACAGTCATCCATATGGCAGCCCATTGCCTTTAACCACCATGCCATCTGCTGGCCCCAAGATCCAGCTCTCTTAACTACTAGGATACAGTGCCACCCTTGTAGTCTGTCTTAGTCATTACTTCATTAGATCTTCCAAGGGACTGAGGAGGATGACAGGTCACTGACAATGATGCCATTTTTATAGATTTTGAAACTGAGGCTTGGAAAAGTGAAATGATTTTTATCATATGGAAGATTATACTTAAAAATTAACTTAAAGATCATTTAAGTCTATATACTATGTATACAGTTAGTAACTAGCAAAGTTTTGGCTTAGAGAATCCCTATCACTCTAAATGTTTACGAAGAACAAATAGTGCTTCTTCTTCAGTAATCTGCAGGCCAAGTCTTTGCCAGGCCATGGTTAGGCAGGCACAGTGGGGATGCCAGAGCCTATGGTCTATCTATGCTCACCTTTAGCGGCAGTCAACATGGTGGAGGCCAGTTCACACTGCTGTGATTCCAAGTGTCCAAGCGTGAACCAACGAGGATAGCGGCTGGGCACCACAGACACCATATGGTGAGGGTGGGAACTGTCGCCTGTAGAAGCTGAGTTTTCTAGAACGGGTAACCTAGAAGACCCAGGAAAAGTCATCAGACACCATCCTGATCCTGGTCATTCTGAGCCACCTTAGAGAAGCTTGCTCTTTGCTACGGATTAAGGATGAACCAGGGAGGAGGGGATTAACTAAGAACTTCAAAGTATTTTTTAGTTTTTTTTTTTTTTTTTTTTAAACTTTGCTATAGGGCACTTGCCAGAGAGAGAAGGAAAGTGAGAAAGCATCCTTTAGGGGATGGCCACACCGCAATTCCTGTTTCTCCATTCTTTTCTCAGGATTTTGGGCATGTACATACAACCCAGCCTGTTTTTCAAGCTGTCAGGTCCAGGACTCGAACTGCACATTCAAGCCATGTGGAATCCAGCCACCTTAACCATGATGCCATCAGCTGGCCAAGCACTTTTAAGGTTTTAAAACAGGTGGTATTATACTCTCTGTGAGGTGAGTGAGTGGGCACCTGTAGAACTCAAGCTAAATAGTCCCCATTGCAAATGGATTTGACAGGCATTTCAAGAACCATAATGTTATTTTAAAAAGTTCTTATACTGTCCATCCAGTTAAACATACCTAAGAATTTTCCATTGTAGCTAAAGAGTTCTCTTAGTATTACCATCCTACTAAAATTCTTTTGTATAGTGTGCTGCATTCCAGCAGTCTTCTGCTTAATCTAAGATCCTGTTTTAGTTAGAAAACAAGATGCTTATAGCTCACTGTCCTCAAGTCTTGGAGCAAATATACTTATCCCTACTTCCCTAGAATCCTCTGGGGACCTCGGCCTGGGAACCATGACTCAGATGAGTGATAGAAGGGCTCAAACCTCTTCTCAGGCTGCTTAATTGGCCCCAGGACAGGACAAAAGGTCTTGGGTACTCCCTATGTATTAATATCTCAGGGCTTCCTCAGACAATCCACCATGAGTTTAGCCAGGAAGCCAAGTGGGTCACCAATAAGGAATCTCAGATAGAAATCCTGGATCACATGAAAACACCTGAGCCATTTTAAGACAGGCTTGGAGACAGGTCCAACAGCACAAGCGGTAAAGAGAGGAAAATGGGGTAAGCAAAGGAAAAGATCATTAGAGACTTCTGCTTTGGTGGAGGCAACTAGGCTGGGAAAGGGTTACCCACCTCATGGCACGTAAGGCTAATTTGTAGGATAGGTCTGGGTCATGAGGCAGCAACGCTGAGAACAAATACTTGGCAAAGGTATGCATGGGAACACTCTCTCGGTGAATGACTTCTCCCAGACCACTAAAGGGGCCTCCTGCAGGAACAAGATAAGCCAGCCAGTTATTTATCTGTATGCTTCCATTTGCCAGCCTGGACTCGAGAGCTCTAAGATTCTATGCATGTTTGCTAGCCATGGGAAACGTCATTACACGTCAATGTCATAAACATTCCTGTACTTATGCTGTTAGAGAGGGGAGCCCAGGGTCACAAGCCAAAGACACTGTAATCACCACCTCTTCTCTACTGACCTTCCAGCAGTAAGATGCACTGTTTCCGCAGTGTTTGCACTAGCTCATCATCCAGCTGCAGCTCCTGGAGTTGACTCAGGAGCTGTTCCTCATTACGGCACACCTTGTCCTGTGCGTAGAGGCCTTCAGGCATCACCCTCTGTTGACCCATGCCCATCAGAGCAACTTCCAAAGCCAGTGATAGGTAGGACTCACTGCTGTTTGAGCAGCCTGCGGCCACAGGCACATGCTGATACACAGGGATTCTGCTTTCATTCATATCTGAGGGCAACATGATACAGGTTTTTTAGGTCAGGCCAGTGGATTCTTTTGCCCCTCTCTTTCTCATAACTTGGTATAACTTGGTCAATAATTAACACAGAAAAGCTGAGTCAGAACCCCAGAGCAGTAAGGAAAATATATAGAAAAAAAGGTTACAAAGAGTTACAGAGATTTCTACCCTTTTTCCTACTATATAAACTGGCAAGGCCAGTTGGCAAAGCATAAAATCTTATATTTATCTTTCGCTAGCACATTATATAATGTTATAATTGCCTGTTTTTGTGTCTGTCTCTTTCACTAGAATGTGAACACCTTTATGGGATGAGACCGTCTTATCATGCTAGGTACTTCCAGGGCCTGACATATGAGAAAAACTGAGTGATAAATGAACAAACGTGATTTCGGGCTTTCAATATGTAAACGTCACTGTACAGGTAAAAGGACTGAAGATGATGGTTACCTTTGCAAACATGAGATGGAAGGTAAGGATACCCCTAGCTTGGCTTGAAGCTACCCAGAGGAATTTGTATCTTTCCAATTAAACTCTTACTTTAATCAACTCTTGCAACTTCTACATTATTATTGTACATGCCCCACTATTGGATTCACAATTTCAGGAAGAGAACACAGGTTTAAAAGTCAGAGTTCTGAGACCAGCAGATGGTGTAATGGTTACATTGTTGGACTCCCATGTAGTCAACTGTGGTTTGAGTCCTGGACCCAGCGGTTTTAAACTCATGCCAGGCACATGTGTGTACATGCCCAAAATTCCAAGAGGAGAATGCAGAAGAAGAAATTATAGTATGGCCATCCCCTGGGGAGTAATTTCTCGCTTTCTGTCTCTCTGTCTCTGCCTCTCCAGCAAGCACACGTGACCTATAACAAAAATCTCTCTAAATATAAAAAAGTCAGAGTCTGGGACCAGCAGTTAGTGTAATGGCTATGTCGCTGGGCTCCCATGTAGTCGAACGTAGTTCAAGTCCCAGACCAGGTGGCTTAAACTCATGCTGGGCACATGTGCGTGTGTGCCCAAGATCCTGAGAGGAGAAAGGAGGAGAAGAGATTGCTGTGTGGCCATCCCCCTTGGGGGGGTGTGATTTCTCGCTTTCTGTCTCTCTGTCTCTGTCTGTCTGGCGAGCGCACACACCCTATAGCAAAAACCTCTCAAAAAAAGTCAGAGTCTAGTTTCTTTCATTTTATTCTTCATCTATCTAGTATTTCTAGAAGACTATTAAACAGTAAGTATTTCACTAAATGCTAGGACCATAAAGATAGGTAAATCATAATTTCTGCTTTAAAGTAGCTGACTACTTAAAAGACACTTAAAGTAGTTAACTACTGGGGCCAGCAGGTGGCATGGTACTAAAAGAGCTGGACGCCCATGTGGCCGACCGCAGTTCAAGCCCCAGACCTGATGGCTTGCTTTTTCACTTTCTCTCTCTCTCTCTCTTTCTCTCTATCACTCATTCACTCACTCTGTCCCTTTCTGGTCCAATTAAAATAAGTAAATAAAGTTAAAGAAAATAATTCTTGGGGCCAGCAGGTGGCATGGTGGTTAAGGCACTGGACATTCCCACATGGCCGACCATGGTTTTAGTCCCGGACCTGGTGGCTTACCTACTCACTTTCCTTCTCTCTGTATGTCTGTCTTTCTCTGGTCAAATTAAAATAAATGAATGAATGGATAAATAAGATTAAACAGTCTTTTAAAAAAATTTAAAAAGTATTTAAAAAGAAAGTAGTTAACTACTTTAAGTTTAGAACTACTTAAAGTAGTTCTAGTAAAGAAATACTCATAAATAAATGGTAATGTAGTGTACTAAATATACTAAAGTAGATTTATGTATACAATGTAGTGATGTATTAAATATAGTGATCGCATAAAGGAAAGAAGAATCATGTGTGTCCCTGTCTAGTCCTGGCTACTTTGAGACTATTAGATTAGTCCCTCTTGTCCCACTGTAAAATTGGTCCAAAAGCAGCATGAGGGAGTAAGTTCAAAAAACCCCAGACAGTAACAGCAACGGACAGGGATACACACATTCTTGATGGATGTTTTCTCCCACATCCAGACTGCCCTGAAGTTCCAGCCTCCGACTTCTAGCCCTTCTTATTCCACTGAGACTACACTCTTTAGGCACTCGCAGTAGGGAAGTGAAAAGAACAGGAAGGCTGGAAAGGTAAAATGGGATAGAAGGGCAGGGCCCGAACACAGGGTAGTAAAGAGATGAGACAGGGAGAAAGTCCAAGGAAATAGCTCAGGGATTAAGAGGTTATGGTAAGAGGGGGTAAGGGGAGGAAAAGGCTGTAAGAGGGGTAGAACAGAATCTGGCAGGAAGGAGCAGGTTGCCAAACACAGTCCTGGCTTGCTTTGGGCTAGTCCTTATACCTGACACTTCCAGATAGCCATCATCACTCAGGCGGCAGGCCTCAGTCAAAGTTTGAAATAGGCAGCCAATGGGATCCAGGGGATGGCCTACCCAGCCTTCCAGATTTGTGATGGTTGTAGTTCCTCTCTGCAACAGTTCTGGAAACAAGCAGGTCAAAATTTTAGAGCGTGATAGATACACACTCCTCTCTTTTCCTACCGGGGTCTCTATCATTCAGGCCTTGATACTGATAGTCAAACAAAGTTTTCTTTTGTCTTGCCTTGCATGATAGGACTGGTCACAAACTCATCAGTCATGTGGTCTGCGTTTACGTTGCTCAGTGGTAGTATATACAGAAATATGGCTTTATAGTTTTTAAAAAGTCTTCTTATATCAGCTCTTAGTGAGGCTTCCAACTTAGTGGGCTCTATGAGGGAGGCAGGCAGACAAAATTGTTCTCATTTTACAGATGAGAAAACTGAGATTCATCAAAATAATGGCCTGGGATTTCCTAGCCCCTGCCACACCATGACACTTAATGAAAACTAAGTTCTGGGCTCTATATTCCCCGAGGAATCATCAGCCTTAGGCCTATGGGGGTCAGAAGGCTCCAAATCACTATACCTTTCTTCTGATGTTTGTAGATTTCCAGCTGTCGCTGCTGCTGCAACCGCAGAGTATTAATAATCGCCACCGTGAGTCTGAGAGCCTCTTTTGGATAACCATGGGAACGCAGGGCATCGACCCGGGCACAGGCTGTAGGAACATGCTCTACAAGATAAGAAGAAAGCATTTTTGTCAAGTTAAAATTTCAAGTCTGGAAAATTCATGCTTGATAAAGGAAGTCTGTGTTCAATCCAGTTCTCGAATTCAACTTGACATCCACTGTATAAGGAATGGTGTTCTTATCTTTTTTTTTTTTTTTTGGAGAGATTTTCACTGTAGGGCGCGTGCGCTCGCCAGACAGACAGAGACATAGAGACAGAAAGCGAGAAATCACCCCCCAGGGGGGATGGTCACGCCGCAATCCCTTCTCCTCCATTCTCCTCTCGGAATCTTGGGCATGCACGCACACGTGCCCGGCGTGAGTTTTAAGCCACCGGGTCCGGGACACGAACTGCGGTCGACTACGTGGGAATCCAGCGACATAGCCATTACGCTAACTGCTGGTTCCCCTGGTGTTCTTATCTTTAAGGACACAAAAAGCTGAATAAGTCACAGGTACGTCCTTGAAAAAGCTACTATGCAGCGTCAGGATGGTGGTATAATGGAGAAAGGAATACGCAACTAGGATAATAAAATATAGTACTCTTTGTGAACATGTCCTATGGGAACTCAGTTAAGGTAGCAACTAATTGCCTAAAGGGGGAAAGCCTTGTTCACTTACTTATTATTATTAATATTAATAATTTTTAGGGACCAGCAGTTGGCATAATGGCTATGTCACTGGTTTCCCATGTAGTCGACCATAGTTGGAGTCTTGGACCTGGTGGCTTAAACTCACACCAGGAGCGTGTGTGTGCGCGCCCAAGATTCCAAGAGAACGGAGGAGAAGGGATTGCAGCATAGCCAACCCCCCTGGGGGGTGATTTCTTGCTTTCTGTCTCTCTGTCTCTCTCTTTCTGGCGAGTGTACCGCTCTATAGCAAAAAAACCTCTAAAAAATTTTTTTTAAAAGAAATATTTTATTTAACTTTATTTATTTATTTAAATTTGACCAGAGAGAGATAGTGAAAGAGAGAAAGAGAGGGGAAGTGAGAAAGCAAGCCGCCAAGTCCGGGACTCAAACAATGGTTGGTCATGTTGGAGTCCAGGGCCCTTAACCACCACACCGCCTGCCGGGCCCTATTACTATTTTTTTTTTTTTTTTTTTTTCTTTGCGCTTGCCAGAAAGACAGAGAAATGGAAAGTGAGAAATCACCCCCCAGGGGGGATGGCCACGCCACAATCCCTTCTCCTCCATTCTCCTCTCGGGATCTTAGGCACACACGCACATGTGCCCAGCGTGAGTTTGAGCCACCAGGTCTGGGACTCGAACCATGGTCAACTACATGGGAGTCCAGTGACATAGCCATTACGCTAACTGTTGATCCCCCTATTACTATTATTTTAAAGAGATATTTTTACTATAGGGTGCGTGGACTCACTGGAGACATAAGGAGAGACAGAAACAGAAAGTGAGGAATTACTCTCCAGGATGGACAGCCACACCGCAATCCCTTCTCCTCCATTCTTCTCTCAGGATCTTGGGCATGCATGCTCACATGCCCGGCGTGAGTTTAAGCCACTGGGTCTGGGACTTGAACCATGGTTGACTACATCAGAGTCCAGCAACATAGCCATTACATAATCTGCTGGTCCCCCAAGGGTTTTTCAAGTCCCTGGGGAAGGATCTGAACCATAAAGTCTTGGTCGGTCATATGGGATCCAGTACCCTTAAACACCAGGCCACAGAGTCAGCCCAAGTATGAATGCATTCTTTTTTTTTAAAGAGAGATTTCTGCTATACTGAATGTGCGCTTGCTGGAGAGAGAGAGAGAGACAGAAAGCGAGAAATTATACCCTGGGGGAATGGCCACACTGCAGTCCCTTCTCTCCCATTTTCTTCTTGGGATTTGGGGTACACATGCACACACACCCAGCATGAGTTTCAAGCTGCCGGGTCTGGGACTTGAACCATGGTCAGCCACATGAGAGTCCAGTAACATAATCATCATGCCATCTGCTGGTCCCAGTATGAATGTATTTTAAAGGCTTTTGATAGTTTCTGCTGAAATACCCTTCACAAAGGCGATCAGCATTTATAATCTTTCATTCCTTTTTTTTTTTTTTTTTTTTAATTTTTCTTTTATTATTATTGTTTTTAACTTTATTTATTTATTTGTTTTAATTTGGCCAGAGAGGGACAGAGCGAAAGAGTGAGAGAGAGACAGAGAGGAGGAAGTGAAAAAGCAAGCCTAGCCTCTTTTCTTAAAACTTAATTTAAATTTCTTTCAAAGTACCAAAAGCTGCTAGGCCCAGGACTCAAACTGTGCAGTGGCCATGTGGGATTGAGCCACTTTAACGTCTATGATACCTGCTGGCCCAGCATTTACATTTTTTTTTTAAAGGAAAAGGTAGCTTACTTAGTAAAAGTGAAAGTACACTCCTGAGAGGTAGAAGTGGGCTTGGACGGATACAGAAAGGGTGACTAGTTGCTTTCTGCAAGGTTTTAATTTTTAATTTTTTTTGAGAGATTTTTTTGCTATAGGGTGTGCACACTCACTGGAGAGACAGAGACAGACAGAAAGCATGAAATCCCCTCCCCCCCCGGGGGGTGGGATGGCTATGCCACAATCCTTTCTCCTCTTGGGATTTTGGGCATGCATGCACATGTGCCTGGCGTGAGTTTCAAACTACGAGGTTGGGACTCGAACCACAGTGGGCCACGTGAGTCCAGTGCCTTAACTACTATGCCACTTGCTGGTCCTGAAGTTTATGATTTTTTAATCTAGGTCGTGTTGGTTGATCATTGGCTGGGCCCACAGACTGTTCTCATCTCACTGGCTCTATCAAATGTGACTGGGCCCACTGATTTCTCATTGTCTATGTCAAGTGTGGCTTAATCAGCTAGACATCTCCCATTAATTCTTACCTACATTACCTTGGGCAGGGGATATACTGCCCTGATTGGGTTTTTCTGTTTAGCCATATAGGCAGAACCAACACTTAAATTCTTTTTTTTTTTTAATAATTATTTTATTTAACTGTATTTATTCACCTATTTTTAATTTGACCAGAGAGGGACAGAGAGAAAGCAAGAAAGCAAGCTGTCAGGTCTGGGACTCAAACTGAGGTCGGCCATGTGGGAGTCCAGTGCCCTTAACCAAAACGCCACCTTCCGCCCCCCCCAACACTTACATTCTTACTAGAGAATACTATCTCCCTGCAACTCTTCCACCAGAAACTAATTATCTATATTTAAAAAATCCCTAACCATGGGACCAGAAGATGGCATGATAGTTAGGTTGCTAGACTCCTACATAGTTGACCACAGTTCAAGTCCCCAGACCCAGTGACTTAAAACTCATGCCAGGTATATGGGTGTGTGTGTGTGACCAAAATCCTGAAAGGAGAATAGAGGAGAAGGGATTGCGGTGTGATCATCCCTCCTTGGGGGTAATTTTTCGCTTTCTGTCTGTCTGTCTCTGGCAAATACGTGTGGCCTGTAGCAAAAATCTCTCTCCTAAAAGAAAAATCCCTAAATACAGGGCCAGAAGATAGTATGGTGGTTAAGGTGCTGGACTCCTAGGTGGCTGATGAAGGTTCAAGTCCTGGACCTGGACCTGGTGGTGGCTTGAAACTCTCACCCAGCACATGTGTGTGTATCCACAAATCCCAAGATGAGAATGGAGGAGAAGGGATTTCAGTATGACCATCCCCCTGAGGGGTGATTCCTTGCTTTCCCTCTCTATGTCTGCCTGTCTCTCTCTCTCTAGCAAATGGACACACCCTTCGGCAAAAACCTAGAAACAAAACAAAACAAAAATTCTAACCACTTGACAATCAAAACATGTTTTTTTAAAATGTTATTTAAGTTTGCATCTTTATTAATGAGGCATTTATTTTTTCACATGCTGGCTTGGTTTATGTTTTAGATGTGTTTATAGGAGAGGAAATGATGATTACAGGGAACTTCAGGTGGTAAACCACAGTGAGTTGACCAAGGCTATTTAGAGAGAGACAGGGATGTATCTAACCAGACTCAGCAAGATCCTCAGAGACAAAAGTACAAGGTGAAGGATGGAGGTAGGAAATTGGGAGAAGACAGTGGAAATGTAATTGCCATTGTTCTAAGACTCAGAAAACAAATATTTCAAAAAGAATGTCTATTTTGGAGTAGCCATCTTTAGAAAAAGTAAAAAGCAGGCTGATTAATAGGCAATCAGAAAACTATTTCAGAGGAGGGTTTAACTCACAATGGAACAGCAATATCCAGTTCAGAAGGAAGGGAGGGAAGTGAGGAGAAGACAGCTTGATGACAAATGCAGACTGTGTTTTAGTTACTATTAGTACAGGGTTATTTAAATGTCAAACATAGTGCTTTTTTAGAAAAACATATCATTTCAGATAGAACATAACGTTGCTCAGTAACTATTGACTGAGAGAGCCTGTGATGTGATGTCTAATGGCTTAGTCAGTACTTTTAAAGATGTATTAACTCTATTTCCTCCCAAAACTTAGAGGACAGGACACAAATTCCTATTTGAGGTTACTGTGTCTCAGCTGAGTATACATGTAAATAGCTTAGGCTTCACATAAATATTCTGAGTTTATAAGTAAAGGTCCCAAAAGACCTGTGTGAAGACTGTCCAAAGTGTAACTGCTGTAGCTGGTGCCTCTGCAGATGGCTCGTTCAAGCCAGGCATGAGGTCAGGTTGGATTCTGAAATTCTCAGAGTAGAGGAGGGCTGGACTTACCAAGCCAGAGTGGCTGGCCTTGAGAATTAAAAAGTAGTCTTTCACTTTCCCGTTGGCAGGCAGGAGCTGTATATATGTCACTGCTGATTATTCGCTGTAGGTGGCTGTCCTGCCAATGTAATTCACGGCCCTCAATGGCTCTAGTGAACACTGTTCGTCTTGGTCTGGATAAGGAGTCTGGGGAAAGAAAAAAAAGTGCAGCAAATACAACGATATGATAGATCTTCTTCAAGGTGGCAGGGTGGGCAGAAGAATAGTATCAGGACAATGAGAACGCTTTGTTACCTGTCTGGGGATTTGTTGTGTTGCCTCCTCCTTTATAGGTTTTTAGTGTGTCTGTACCCAGTATGGGAAGAACCTTTCTACAGAGAGCTATGGTTACCTTCCTCCTTCTACAGAAGACCAACTTTTCCCAGGACCCTGAACCACATGGAAGAGAGGAGGGGCAGTGGTATTCTGCTTCCACAGAGGTCAGAGGGAGAGGGAAGCAGCTAGGCAATTGCTCTGGCCAATACTTACCTTGTTTCACTCACAGCATGACCTTTATCAGACTAAGGACTTTCATGAAATGCATATTAAAAGAAGTAAAAGGACCAAAGGCCTGTATACTCTGGTACCTTTATCACACTGATATCTCCAAGTTCACAATGTTGTTCTACCCAAAAGAAGAACTGATGTTGATAGAAGATTAACTTGTTTTCTCACTGAAGTTTTACCATGTCATTTCTCTTCAGGAAAAGGGATGCAGGGAAACCAAAACTGCAGATAAAGCTGAATTCTTTTTTTTTTTTTTTTAATTTATTTATTTATTGGGGCTGGCAGGTGGTGTGGTAGCTGAGGTACTGGATTCCCATGTGGCTGACTGCGGTTCAAGTTCCAGACCCAGCAGCTTGCTTTCTCACTTTCCTTCTCCCTCTCTCTTTGTATCTCTCTCCGGTCAAATTTAAAATAATAATAATAAATAAAATGAAATAAATAACTCTTCTAAAACATTATTTATTTATTTATTTATTTGTTGTCATTGTCAAATTGCTGGGTATGGGACTTGAACTGTGGTTGGCCATGTGAGAATTCAGCTCCTTAACCACCATGCTACCTTTCTTTTTTTTTTAAGAGGATTTTTGCTATAGGGCACATTCAATTGTGGGAAAGACAGAGAGACAGAAAGACATGAAATCACTCCCAGAGTTGGGGGGGGGAACATGCTGCAATCCCTTCTCCTCCATTCTCCTTTTGGGATCTTCTGCATGTATGCACATGTGCCCGACATGAGTTTAAGCTGTCAGGTCCAGGACTTGAACCATGGTCAACAACGTGGGAGTCCAGCAACATAACCATTACGCTTTCTGCTGGTCCCAGTAGGCTGAATTCTTAAGAATGGTATAGAGGGGACCAGCAGTTAGCGTAATGGCTATGTCGCTGGACTCCCATGTAGTCAACCACGGTTCGAGTCCCGGACCTGGTGGCTTAAACTCACGCCAGGTGCCTTTGTGTGCGTGCCTAAAATCTCAAGAGGAGAAAGGAGAAGGGACTGTGGCATGGCCATGCCCCCTGGGGTGATTTCTCGCTTCCTGTCTCTCTGTCTCTTTGTCTGGCAAACGCACGCGCCCTATAGCAAAAACCTCTCCAAAAAAAAAAAAAAAGAAAAAGAATCAAGAATGGTATAGAGGAGGACCAAATGGAATATATACCACCATAAACTATGGACTTTGGGAGACCTGTGGAAATGACATTTTGTTTATTTTCTTTCTTTCTTTTTTTGTTTTGGAAATGACATTTAAGGAAGTAAAAAAAACATGAGGAAACATTTAACTGATGCCTTGCCCTTTGATTAAGGGTAGTTGAAACTATTTTTAGATCAAGAACTGAAGTACTATACAGATATTACCAGAGATGCCCAAATTGGGTGTGGATCTACTGATTCTGTGCAGAAAAACTAAGAGGAAAAGTCAGGGGAATCAGACAGCACAGGAAAGAAACTAACATATTCATTCATTTAGAATGGTTCTTAGAATCTGGTCATCTTTTTTTTCTTTCTCTAAAGTATTACTTACTTATTTAATTTTATTTATTCATTTATTTATTTTAATTTGACCAGAAAGAGACTGAGAGAAAGAGAGAGAGAGAGAGAGAGAGAGAGAGAGAAAGCCAGCCACCAGGGCCCAGACTTGATCTGTGGTCGGCTATGTGGGAGTGTCCTGTGCCTTAACCACCACGCCACCTGCTGGTCCCCCACCATTTTAGAATTTAATATATCCCATTGGGTAGAGGTCAGATGACTAAAGGATGCTATCATACAGTTGCACTGGTAGTATTTACTGCAGTTGCGTCTCCTTCATGTCCCTCAGTGGAAGCACACTGGCTGAAGTCTAAGCCCTCTCCCTGCTGGACTAAGAATCCACCATGGGTATGCTCAGCTCATGGTGGGGAATAAGCCCTCAATATGTTTTTTAATTCATTAAATCAGCAAATAATGTGCGTCTACTGAACATCAGCTACCATTCTAGGTGCCCAGGATATACAATGTCTCTGTTTTAAATATTTTTACATTCTAACAGAGAAAGAGTGAAATAAATACATCAGCTATAGTGTATGATTATGAGTATTATGGAAAAGACCAAAGCAGAGTTAGGGAGAAAGGCAAGATGATGTTAGGTGGAGGATTATTTTATACAAAATGATCTCTCACGATAGCATCTAAACAGAGACTCGTAGGAATTAAGAGGCAAATCTTAGAGAGAATTAAGGGAAGATCATTTCAGGCAGAAGGAATAGCAAGGACAGTACGAAGTCCTGAAGTGGAGTGAGCAAAACAGAGAATTACAGGGGATGAGGTTGGATAGCTACTGGGGAGCCAGACCGTGGGGGGTCTCAAAGGCCATGAGTGAAAGATGATTTCAGTTTTTTTTTTAATAAAGTAAGAAGCTACTGGAAGGCTTTCAGCTATGAAGGGATATGATGGGACTTGCATTTTAAAAGGATAACTCTGGCATATTAAGAGCATATTAATAAGAATGGTATTAAGAGAACATTATAAGGTAAAAAAGAAAAAGCAGAAAAAAGAATTAGGCAGTCAATACAATAATTTGCTAGATGAATAAATAGCGCACATAGGAAGTAGCTGAATTCTGGACATATTCTGAATATAAAGGCAATAGGATTTGCTTATGATTAGATCTGGGGTGAGAGAAAGAATGACCCTAAGATTTATTTTTAAGAATTATTTTAATGGGACCAGCAGTTGGAATAATGGTTATGTCACTGGACTCTCATGTAGCCGACCACGGTTTGAGTCCCGGACCCGGTGGCTTAAACTCACGTTGGGTGCATGTGTGTGCGTGCCCAAGATCCTGAGAGAATAGAGGAGAAGGGATTAAGACATGGCCATCCCCTTTGGGGGGTGATTTCTTGCTTTCTGTCTTGTCTTTCTGGCGAGCTCACATGCCCTATAGCAAAAACCTCTCACAAATTATTTTGTTTAACTTTATTTTAATTTGACCAGAGAGGGACAGAGAGAGCAAGTCGCCAGGTCCAGGACTAAAAACATGGTCAGCCACATGGGAGTCCAGTGCTCTTAACCACCAAGCCACCTGCTGGCCCCAAACCCAAGTTTTTCAGATAGAGTTGCCATACATGGAAATAGGGAAGACTGTAGAAAGAGCAGGTTTGGGT